TGAGTCCGATCATCCTGGCACAATTCGCCATCGAGAGTGTCGCAGGGCTCTGTCCTAGGACCACTGATGTTTTTAATTTTTGTCAACGACTTACCATGCTGTCTAAGCTGCTCGGCTCTTCTATACGACAAAGACGTAAAGATTGACTTCAAGCTTTATTTTTCCCAGATATTTGTATTACATTTATCTGATGTCTGGGTTTCTTCTAATGCGGAGACATTATTTCTATATCTCTTTATGTGTTACACACACAAACTATTTAGCAGACTGTTCCGACTGACTCTAATGTCAGAAAGAACAACCAAACTGTAAATTTACCATACATCGAAATATGTGTAATTAATAAAATAACTTATTCATGCCTTTACAATTGGTATGTTCCTGCATAAACAGGAATATATATATATATATATGGAGATTAATAAAGTGTTCGATAAATTCAGATAGGCTGTAGTCAGACCTAAGGCTTCTGAGAGACTAGGCTGTGGTGTATGGAATGAGTTTCAACCTGCAGAATGCAAGTATCACTCTACTCGGGGACGCTATATTTAATGGTACATCCTCGAGCTTGGCCTTTTGCGTAACATTGGTAGCGGTGTTAGCAGCTGATGGCAATGATGTGTCGAGCGAGTATAACTAAAGATGCATATAGTGATGACGGAGAAAATGGAAACAAGTGTGAATTACACGAGGGATGTAGTGAGGGCGTATGTGGTCACACACTCCACAAACAGACTGTTAGGTGCGCTCACTCCTGAGCTCTTTCCAAGGTTGTACAAAACATAAACAAGACAACACCTCAAATTGCACAATACCATCACACCCCCACTGCTTAGAAGAGAAGCTAACCTCTTGGAAAGAGTCAGAAGACGAGTGACAAAAGGAGTGATGGGCCTCTGAAACAAACCACATGATGAACGGCTATAGAAATTAGGTCTATTCACACTGAAATACCGTTGGCTTAGGGGCGTCTTGATTACTGCCTACAAGATGAAAAATGACCAGAATCACCCAGACAAAGGTGTTCTGCTATTGAGGAGGCATGGGCTTTCTCGTGGAAACCTCCCAAGAATAACTCATCAGGAGGCAAAAATTCGATTGCGCTCCCCCTTCTTTTCACTGCGAGGTTGCCGTTCCTGGAACTTCTCACCGACAGATGTAGCCACGCACCATCCGTGGACGCTTTAAGCGAAGGCTGAGCAATCATATAGCAGCACAAATACTGATTCAAAACGGCCTATCCCCTTAAAATCTCATACACTACTAGTGGGTAGACATCTAAACCCATCATTTAACTTTATCACGTTCTCTCTTGTCTTGCTGTCTTAACTACTCCAACTACCACACTTAAACTGATTATTGATGATAGTATAAACATGTCTTTATCTTAACTTCAAATTTAATTAGCTGTCTGTTCCTACGTTTTCTTTATTTCTTTTTCTGTCTCTTTGTCTGAATAATCTACACTAATTACATCTGTTATTATTTTTATTATCCCTTTTCTTTTGTCGACGACACCGGAGGACTAACTAGTCACAGGATTGACTCCATTCACAGTAACAACATGGTCTCAACACACCACATACTGCAAACAACATACAGGTAATCACACCACCACTACTTTCGCGGTCAACCAGAGCTATGGCAGTCGGATGGTGGAACGAACTACACGGAAGCTTACCGGAGACCAGGAACCTTCAACTCACAATCAAGGAGCGAGCGAAAAAAATCAAATTGGTTTACACTAGCTCGCAAAGCGATGTTGGATATCATTTCAAAATTCTTGAAATCTGCTAGTTTGTTGATATACATCTTCTCTACTGAATAAGTGACCACAGAGAGAATGCCTCGTAGAAATCTGATTTACTCTTTCCTCCTACACCATCGCAACTGTGGCTTTCCAAGAAGTGGACTAAATTCAATCTTACAGTATCCAAGCCTCACAGCAAATCAGTAGAGATTATTGCAATACCTCACACAAGAGAGTCTTTTGATGGTCAACTCGGTTGGAAAGAACTTAACAACGGCTGTTAACCTACCGTAGATTTTGCTGCATAAGCCGCTGATTATGTGGAATGGAACACACCCATAAAACGGGACAAGGGAAAGTTGACCACACTGAGAAATACATCTGGTATCAGTGCTAAAGTGTCGACAGACACTGAGACACAGCAAGTCACGTGTATAGTGTCGGGAGAAAAAACGGCAAGTAAAAGCGACCCGAAACTCAGTAAGAGCAGAGTCACTGGGTGCAATCTTAAAGCACATCTGGAAAACCTGCTGATCTACATGAGGTTGACATTGACGTACAAATTATGGCTGACCAGAAACCACTGGCAGATCACAATCAATCTGGATCCAAGCAAGAGAGTCCCGCAGTAGAAACTGCAAGAAAGACCACAAAGCCCAGAATCCCACTCCAGACTTCGACATACCTCCCTCGTAATAATAATAAACAGCATGTCAGTATAAAAAATGACAATGCATGGGTAACAAAGCGTATTTCCAGAAACGTCATGCAGCATGTGAGTAAGAATACCCCTTCCCGAACTAGCAGTAACATGCCTAGCAATGCACATAACTTGGGAATGCAACGTACAATAGATCCTCAGGATATATGGAGCAATAAACAAGACTCATATAGGCACCATATTAATGAAAATTCTCGTCCAAACTCTCGCACTATCTAGGTTAAACCTCATCAACATAATCAGTATAGATCGACACTTGATCCCCCCCCCAATAACTTCACTCACATACGTGATGTGAGCCAATATGCGTACGACTGTGAAAGCCCCATGAGGTACAACTACCAAGGTAATCTTAACATAGGGTACCTGGGTCCAGCAAACTGCAACGCAAATTGCAAGGCAAACTATATATCACCAGTAAATGAACGCAGATGCCCACCCATGGATGCTAAAAGTCAAAATATGCAACAGGATTATTTTCGGCTGCAGCAAACACTAGCCCCACTCGCTGCACAATTCATCCAGGAAATACTACACACACTGACTCTGTCTCACCTCAGAGCCCCTCCAAAAATAACGTAGGGATAGTAACAAGTAACCATTTTAACCTCTCCTCCAATAACTCTGGTTTACTAACGATTATGCTACTGAATGCTAGATTTCTCCTTAATAAAATTGTAACGACAGAAGGCAAGAGTCAGGCAACAGATTGTTTATTAATGAAATCAACACATATTTATAGATTTTCGTGTACATTATAATAGATAACTGTTAGCTGACAAACACAGTTTTCTGATTGGTTGTTTCTCACTGAAAGTTAATCTTTCATCTCTTTGTTGCTGTCTCTCGAGTGTCATATCATCTATCTGCTAATTGTATCCGCCTACGCAAAGTCTGCTATCCATCTTTGACCTTGTTTTCACATGACTAATATTTGAGACATAAACATTGACGTCAATTACTGTCTACCAATTTGGCTAGCAACCATCTCTTACCACAAAATAACATCGCTTCGCTGACTGGCATACATAGAACAGCGAACACTATTAATGGTGACTGAAACCTGGCTTACTACTGATATACCTGACTCAAAGCTAGTAATAGACAACTACGACGTCTAAAAGAACGATGGAGTTGACAAAAGAGGAGGCAGTTGCGTAATATATGCCTCTAAATCCACCAACTCCAATACTTTCAATAAGTCAACTACTGACAAACTCCCAGAATGTAAGTGGATAAGCATCCACACAAACGAAAATAAAATTCTCGCGGGATGTATATACAGACCCCCTAATAGCCCTGAAATGACTGATATAACTATTGGAGAAATACCAGAGCATGTAGCTACGCTGGACTTCGACTACAAAGTAGTCTGTGGCGATTTCAACTTACCTGGTGTAAACTGGGATACATGTACTGAACCTAGAATCCATGACGAGCTACCACAAGCTATAGACCTAGGCGGATGGAAGCAGTGCATACGCCTCCCTACAAGAAACAAAAATACTCTTGACTTAATTCTGTCGTAAAATAGAGCCTATCTCGATAGAGGTGGGAAATAAACTCGATTACAGTGATCACAACATATTGTGCTGCACGCTACCCCTCCGACTAACAACTAAATACACACCTGAAAACTCCCCTGTGCACTATCAATATAGGGACTATAAGAATGCCGATTGGGAATTCCTATCAGATCTGTTGAGAATTTCTGACTGGGAAGAATACTTCATCAACAATAACTTAGAAGTATCACTTGAGATTTTCTACAAAACAATTGGCTCAGCAAGAGACACAATAGCACCCCTAAAATCTGCTCTAAAGACACCAACTCCATTTATAGACCGCAAAACGCGACTAAAACTAAAGAAATTGAAAAGGAAATACCATGTATTTAAGGAATTTAATGCGTTAAACCAAATACATGAAACTCCTAAACTGCTTGAAGAGAAACACAAAATGATGTCACAACTTGATGAAAATAAAGAGCTTGTGGGTAACTCCAAAACTCAGGAACTTTGTAGGATATTGCAGAAACGTCTAAAAAGCAGTAAAGATAATAATGTAGGCAGCTTGGAACATAAGGGTATAATATACAATGATCCCCAGGTTATAAGTGAACTCCTCAGTGAGTGGTTTTGCAATGACACCAGAGTGCACCCGACCCGAAATTTCCAAATGACCTGCAAAAGTAACCACAAATTAGGCGAAATACACTTTAATATACAAAATATAGACTCAGCGACTAAGACATTGAAGTCCAATGGTAGTATTGGAACAGACGACATACCATCTGTCACATACAAAAATGGTAGCACGGAAATGGTAGTCTTGTTACTTAGAATATTTACTCTCTCGTTGGAAACTGGAACTTATCCTGAAGCCCGGGAAACCACATACATATTACCTAAGCACAAAGCAGGGGCCAAAACCAGTGCATGCAACTATAGACCTATCAATATAACACCGGTAATATCACAATAATGGAGAAAGTGTTTAAAGACCAAGTGTCAGACAACTTACTAGAACATGAACTTATCAATCCTCAAAAAGAGATCATGTGTGACCTGTCACATAGACTTTTTCAACGAAGTTACACGAAGTAGGGACAACAGAGAAGTAGTAATTGTGCTATATTTCGATATAACAAAAGCCTTCGACAGAGTTCCCCATTATCTGCTAGTCAGCAGGTTATGCTCACTAGGGATATGTGACCCTCTCCTGAGCTGGATAAAATCATTTCTCTGTGGCCGAAGTCAGACAATGAAAGTTGGCTCGATAATCTCAAGGCCTAAACCAGTAAGTAGTGGTCTAGTCCAGGGAAGGGTATTAGGCCCACTCCCATTCATAATATATATAAACAGTATTTGTGAATGCTTAAGTGTAGGTAAACCAGTACTATATGCAGATGACTTAAAAGTGACGTATAAATGCAAGAACACAGATCTTGGAATAACAGAAGACGACATACAGCAAGAATTGGAAAAAATGGATAGATGGTGTGACAACTGGCAACTCCAGTTTAATGTCAAAAAATGTGGCTGGCTCTGCAAAGATTGCAACAATTTAGAACTTGACCTGACAATTCAAGGCCATGCACTTCTACGACTGGAATCTGTACTGGACCTAGGACTGAAATATTCACATAATTTATCATTTTCTGAAAATACCTCCAAAAAGTGTCAAAGTCACGCAGACTTGTTGGCTGTCTACTCAGGAACTTCTACAGGAATGAGTCTAGAATTCTGTTGAACAAGGTTTGTGTGCGTCCTTTATTTGATTACTGTTCATTCATGTATAGTAGTATACGCATAGAGGACAAATTGAAAGTCGAGGCAGTGCAGAGGTACTTCACGTTAAAATTACTCAGAACCGTAAACGGTGCGAACTTCTCCACTAGATGTCATACCCTAGGACTAGAAACACTATGGCTAAGACGCCTGAGACTAAACTTAACACTTTACTATAAGCTTCTTCTTATAGATTAAGTGGAAGGCTACTCGAGTGGATAACTTTCTTTCTAACAGGAAGAGAACAGTTAGTTAAAATCAACAATCACTTATCTACATCCAAACAAATAACCAGCGGCGTGATACAAGGTAGCTTTCTTGATCCTACCCTATTCATTGTATTCATAAATGATATTGTCTCTGTGATCAAGTATGGCAAGCCGTACCTCTTTGCAGATGACCTCAAAGTTGTATATGATTTTGACTATAATGATATGAATATTGCTAGTAAAATCCAACAAGACCTAAATAGTCTATGTAACTGGAGTGAAAAGTGGCAGTTAACGTTCAATCCAGCTAAGTCTGGGTTAACATACTTCGGACGTTGGAAACCTAGCATAAGTCTATACATGTACGGTGACCTTGTTTCAAACACGAACACCGTCACAGATCTCGATGTAACATACTCAGATCTTACCTTTACTGAACATGCAGATAAGGTGGTATCTGATTGTAAACGTCTCACCGGCTTTGTGCTACGCAACTTTTACACCCCAGGAGCCAGACTGGCTATATATAAGATATGTATTCGCCCCAAACTTGGATACTGTGCAGTACAGTAGCTTATACAGTAGCTTTAAATCAGCAGACAGGAGGAAAGTTGAAAGTGTCCAAAGATTCCTGACGAAACGCATATTAGGCTATGATCAGCAAATAGAATACCTTGATAGGTGTATTTGACTGGACTTAAACCATTATGGTTAAGGAGAGTGAAGTGCAACTTATTTCTCTTATTCAAAGTTATAAGAAAGCACTGTAGCAGTAACTCATCCATAACGTGGGCTAATCTTAAATCGTATGAACTACGCAACCATGACTACCTTCTCAAGGTTAACACCCATAAACTCACCACTAGAGCTAACTTTTTCACCATTAAATATTGCAAACTTTGGAACCAGCTACCCTCTGAGATTAGATCCTGTGAAAAGCCTGACAGTTTCAAAAGGAGCCTAGAAAGACATATCAACATGTCCACCCTAGCCCGTCTAAAAGATCACAACTGCTGGTAGAGTGGGGAGACAATGACATTTCAATATTTAACTACGGAAAGCACACTAGTCCTAATACTAATATAATGATACTTAGTAATTATGCATAGTCAATTTTTTGATATTTGATTGTCATTACAATACTTAAATTGATTAAAATATTTATGCAGCAAATGTTCTCTTGCTTTACCACGCTTGCTTCCCTTATAACACTGAATTATTGAGCTTAATGTATTCTTTTATAATACGAATTATAATACTGATTACACTCTTATCATATATAGTTTGATTTACTTTACGGCTCCCTGTAAGACTAACTGCGCTTCTTCAGTATACACAAACTGCAGTATTGTTAACCAAATGTTAAAATTCTGCTGGTTCTGTGTTAATATCTTTTTATAATATGTGTAGACAGGTTACTTTGCGATGTCAAATGTTAACTATACAAAAGACTGTCATGATGATTTAGTACGATAAGTCCTGCCAACCGACCTTACCTTCAGTTCATACTACCTACATTGAACTCTAACTATAGTGTTCTGCCGAATCTTGCTCCACTATTCACAAAACCTATTCTTTTCACTCTTTAAGGGTTAAACATCTTATAAACTAATCTGTTCATTAGGATGCATGCACACATATATAATATGTTCATAAATCTGTACGTGGAGATCTATTGGAAGCACTCACTAAGAAAGCTAGGGAAATGGAATGTGAGGTACGAACGTGTCTGGAACCAAGCAATATATTTGCTGTAGCCATAACAATCAGAGCCTAACATCATAAAAGGAGGGAGGGTGGCGCATGCTGATCAGTAGATATGGTGGCGGACATTAAGGTGAATCGCCCCATTCTGCAGGAACAGCGATATGCAATTTGACGGCTCGAGATTTCTATGAGGGCTTGAATCTTTATCTTGAAAAAGATAATAATGATCGCCTAGACAGATCATGCTTCTACCTTTAAACATATACCATTCGGTCAGCCTATTGCTGAGATGCGACCACGTGGGCTCTGCTCAGATTTATGGGGCATCTTATAAATTAACATGCTTTCCTTTGTCGTATCTTCGAATATCACTTCACAATGTCTCATCTCATTCATTTTCTAATTACGTCTTCACTTGCTCATTATATTCCATTAAACCTAACATTTTATAGCTCTTTATGAATTTGATTCGACTTATTCTATTCCTATTCTCTATAGGGTACGGTTGTGCACCAAATACACAAAAAGATATGAAATAAAAACAACCGGCTTGTGGATAATTGTATTAAAACCAAAGGTGGACATCATGATAGTAAGACCTATATGGGTAGCATAATACATTGCAAATGAACTTTGTCAGCCTGGGGATTGTAGTCTCCCATTGTATTTCCTTTATGAATGCATCGATGCATTCATCATTAACAGATCTGTTAATGATACATTGCACTTACCTATTCCATTACACTTTAATGATTCACCTTAGCACCTTTACTTTTCTAAAACAGCTTACTATCCCTTGTAAACGTTGTACTTACCTCAATATTGGTTGGTCATCGTATGCCTACAACTACGGGTCGAAAACGAAAGTAGTCGATTTTCCCGCGGAACCTGGAGCACTACTGTTCAATTCAATAATGATACGGCCTGCGCCAGACAATGAGTGTATTTATATATATCAAATATTAAGCTGTTCAAACATTATTAACTTGTAGACAATCTACTATTTGACATTATATCATACTTGATCGTGCCTGTAAAAATGGCATGCATTTTCATGTAAATTTATGTTGATATGAAGATATATATTAGTATTATTATTATAGTAGTAAACGCATAGAGGACAAATTGAAAGTCGAGGCAGTGCAGAGGTACTTCACGTTAAAATTACTCGGAGTCGTAAACGGTGCGAACTTCTCCACTAGATGTCATACCCTAGGACTAGAAACACTATGGCTAAGACGCCTGAGACTAAACTTAACACTTTACTACCACCTACTAAGCCACTTACTTTTTACCTCTACTAATGGCTCTCGACTTTCAGATGACAATGTCTGGAAACTTAGACACACTAAGAGTACAGTAGCTAGCGAGCAATGGAAAACAGCCGTCAGGCAATAGTTTTACTTGATTAGGTATTCACAGATAGGGAATAAACTACCAATGCAAATGCGTCAAGCAGGTACATTGGCCTCCTTCGAAAAGGTGCTTAAAGACAAACTACAATATTTTGCAAACGATAGTAGTTCCAGTTCCCAGCTGAGAGCCTCCGAAATTATAGGTCCATTTAATGTATAAGCTCAAATACTACACCTGTTGTTTTTGCCTATATTTATAATTCTAGATGAAACATTAACGGTTAAGATACGTACCCTCAAACAGACAAAACATTTCGTGTGTAAAACGTCTACATAACACAATAAGTGGAATAAAATGGACATAAACCGACAACATGAAAAAGGTATAACTCACCGCAACATCACATGGACAGATGTAAGCTCGTTGGACACCACATATCCCTCACCAACTGCAACCCACCTTTCCTAAGATAATGTGATGAACACATATCCATAATGTTGCTGAGCAGTTAATATTCTCAACTCCTGTCAGAACAGCTGAAATTCATAAACCTTCCTCACGCTAAGAAAATACCCACGAGCAGTAGAAATCCATTAATTAATGCGTCTGAAGCTTATGTATTTACTCCCAACAATGACATTTCAGATCAGATGAGATAAACAAATCACTGATTTCAAAACAACACATCAATGAACTATAATTCAAGGACTCTGCACATAACAAAGTTATGTGTGAAAATTGACTTCAAGCTTTATTTGTTTTCCTAGGCACTTATAATCCATCCACCAGAGACCTGGTTTTTTGTTAATGCGAAGACAATACTTCTGTATTTCCTGATGTGTTACACTCACTGACAATCTTGCAGATTTTTCCAACTGTGCACAGAAATGATTGTATATAAGTGAAAAGGCTGTTTTATACTACTGGGATTATCATTTATCAAGTGTATGTATAATCTCCAGCGAACATGTAAGGCATATCTTGCTACTGCCTGTAAATTGTGATTGAATTTATGGTTCTATTTCTGTAACAATTTGATGATGCCTGTAAACTGGCGTCCCTCATGTACTGTACTATGTGCGTCGATGGCACAGTGGTTAAGACTATCCTACCATGCACATGGTCCGGGTTTCGATCCTCTGCCGGTGCACACCTGATATCTATGGTCGGCCTGTAAATTTGGGCTATCGATATCCATGCTGAATATTCCATACTTGTACTGAATATACGGTGTGGAATCAAGCTGTAGTCAAAATAAAAGATAAATAAAAAATATTTATTAATATCTTGCATCTTGTTAAGAGCAGCGACTTCTGGTGCAACTCATTCTTTACTTTTTCCGAGCTGCAGTCGATTGAGATTTAGGAGGAGATTATGAAGTTACTGAAGCGGGTATTTCAATCTTATCTTCTCCTTATCAATCTGTTCAACGCCATAGTGTACACAGGATCGTCTATTGGAGTCTACAGAAGCGCAGATGTTTCTGCATCTATTTTCAGCGCCTTTCCTGCATTAACAAGGCCTCGTCACCAGCCAAGTATTCTTCTGACGCATGTGGTGTTCATTTTATGGATTCACCACTTCCGAAATTCGATGTTATGTGAAAATGCAGATTTGGGCCACGTGCGAACGACCTAGAGATACAATATACGTCCATTCCTCGAGTTGAATAGTGTGGCCGATCGGTCGATTCAAAATAAGCCCTAGGCGCTGAATTCCCCAACATAAAGTTGACCGCAGGGTTTAGGGAACCATTATTGGTAGCTTGGTGGCTAAGATAGCTGAGAAGAGCTAGTATTAACTGCAACAGGGAAGCGAAATGTGATTAGGAGAGCCTCGCGTGCGTGTGGATTTGTGTGAATGGCTAATAATTTCTGGTTGCTCCCACTATGGAGGTTGGTTTCTTCTTGGAACGTCCGAAGGAGAATGAGCATCAGTGTTAGGGGACGCCAGAATGCAGGGAATAAATGTGTGAGACGGATTTCACATGGTTTTTAGAGTTTTGCTGGTGTTCAGTTCTCTCTGACGACAACATATCCCTTCAAGTTAAGTCAGTGTGTATACTTTTTGGAGCTAATATATTCTATCCTTCCCTCTAGGAGAAGAGAGGCAATGTAGCTGGATGATGACTGTTCGAGGGAAACGCCATTATTCTGTCAAAACCTCAACATCAGAGCTCATAATTTCACCGTCAGATCCGTTATCCTCGCACCACTTCCTATGGAATCAAGCTAATTTAAGTTAGGTGGGTGGTGGGAAATGTTCATTGAAGCTTAACAAAGAACAGAGGTTTCCAACTCAAACCATGAAGTCAGCCCAAAGAGATAATGTGGCTTGCAGTAGACGGTGTACAGGGTATTGTATGTTGAAGTCCATTACACAACACTGGATATTGAATATTGTTTAAGTTGTCATTATTCAGTATCAGTTTCGTGCATTTAAACCAAACGTTGAGATGGGGGATTTACGTAGACAGCGCATTTTGGAGAATCTAGAACTGCGGGTAAAATTCACTAGTTTGTGTTGATTTCAACTGTTTTTATCTTGCCTATAGAAATATCACCTGCAGATGCTGAGAAGGTCAAAGAAACGTACGGTATCAAGAAGGTAAGGTAAGAGAAACATGATAGTTTTGATCGATCTCATAATACGATCGAATCGGTGATGAGTGTTCCGTTTTTAATCACACAGATTTGTCTAGCGTGTAGTAGAATTGTGAATGCGCATACGCTTCCCTTGCATCTTGTGTCTGAACTTGTCAAAGTATGCCCAGTGGTTTTGACAGCTAAGCAGCTAGCTTAGGCTAGTTAGTCGTGTGTCATACTCTGTATATAATGACTCACACACACTTTGATAATGTTATGTCATCGATTATTCTCTAACGATGTTTTATACGCGTATTATGGTGTTATTCTGAGTGACTTACGAAACGCTTGTCTTGGATTTCGCTTGAGCACTCTTTCTACAATTCCTAAAGACATAAAAGCCGCAAGCTATCTGTTTGGATGAAGGGTTGTAATAAAGTGTACGGATATGCAGGCCTGTGTTAACGCCTTCCCACAATGTATCTGTGTTTTCCACTCGTCTACTCACTGAGTCAGTTGATGAGACAGCCATTACTTCTTTTGGGAGTCCAATATATCCAGTATCGCTTTACTAGCTGGTATAAACCAATTTGATTTCTTTGTGCTCGCCTCTTGATTGTGAGGTATAGGTTCCTGATCTTCGGTAAACTTCTGCGTAGCTCATCCGGTCAATCGACTGTCGTACCTTTGGTTGACTCCAACAGGATTAATTATATGTGGTTTGTTGTATGAGGTGTGTTAAGACTGTTACTACTGTGAATAGAGTTGATCCTTTGACCAGTTAGTCCTCCGGTGTCGTCGACAAAAGAAAACGGGTAATAAAAATAATAAGATGTAATTAGTGTAGATTATTCAGACTAAGAGACAGAAAAAGAAATAAAGAAAACATAGAAACAGACAGCTGATTAAATTTGAAGTTGATATATATTATATGTATATATATATCAGTAATAGCAATAGTAAGTGTAGTTAGAGTTGTCAGGAGATTAATACGGGAGAATGTAAAGAAGCAAAACGACGAACTTAATTGTCTACCGCGAATGGTGTATGGGATTTTAGGGGGATAGGCCATTTGAACGCAGTTCGTGTGTCGCTGCATGATTGTCCAGCCTTCGCTTAAAGGTGTCCACAGATGTAGTCAGTTGTGAGTGTTAGTGTCTCGGTGGGAGAAGCAATATTCTACAGCAATATATTTCGTTCCTGGTTGTTGAACGTCTCTGCTATATCCTCTTAGATATCTTCACTAGGTGGGAGGGCAAAGAGAAGAGAAATCAGGCCCAGTCATTTCTCAACGTTCTAAACATTGTAACTAGACCCCCTCTGTCTGTGGTACCATTTGAAGATAAGATCCACTAGTTGGTGCCAGTGCTCTCAACTCTTTCCCAGCCCAACCTCTCTAGCTAACGTTGCTCAATGAGGAAGACGATAGCCCAGCATACGTAACACATGTCCAGACCACTTCAATCGATGCAGCTTTATAGCCTCATTGATTCACTTACCCTCCTTATTGTTATTATATTAGTGTTAATGCCTAATATTGTGTGGCTAACCTCGTCATTGCTCGCATTGTTTTACTATCTATGACACGCATGGCTGAAGATGGCCAGCCTCTTCAAGTCTTCGTATATTAACACGCAGTTAACTTTTCTGTAGTACATACGTCTTTTGATGGGCAACAGGAGTCACGCCCTATTTAGTTCAGCTTAGGCTACTACTGGATAATATCACTCAGACATACACACAATTAGTGTGGCTGATAACCCAGTAAATAAAACATGTTCCCGTAAATTGAGTTATGGATTACTTGTTTGTATTTCTAAACTCAGTCAGTTGGTGCTCTTGGAGGTATTTTTTTCGCTTACTGTGGAAGGTAGTGAATTACCTAGATGCACATAAAATGACCCATATAGGAAGGCATGGATTGCCTTGTTGATGTTGTTGAAGTGCTAAGAACCAATGACTTGAGACTGTTGGTGACATGGCTCAAAACCGTTTTCAATGCTGGAGATGCATTCACTCTTTGAGACCTTTCATTCCCATTAAATCTCACGTTTTTCCATGTTACTATTCTTTCGTATATTTCTGTACATTATAGTTCTTTTTTTGCTGATCCTTCATATTCTAGGTGGTTTTTGGCAGGTTGAACTGATGCATTTCAGTTGAAAGCCAGTTTATTCATAGCCTCAATAATATAATCATAGTCCGCTCAATACTTGTCCTGCACTAAGGACGGAAGTTAGAGAACCACGCAAAGAGGAGAGAGTAAATAAAATTCATTATCTCGTAAATTACAACGTTAGTTTTTTAAATTCATGGTGACCTGTGAATGATACTAAGTAATGTTAACAGCTACCTGAAAGTGAATGGGCTGCACATCATGTTGACGGAATTGCCTCCTACCTCCTTCCTTGTGGAGGAAAGTGCTTTTAGGAAATTAATTAATAATGTGATATGAAAATGCATTCTAAGTGCAGAATTCATTTCAACTGTTCTTGTAACATTTTGCCCTTAGTTTTTGCTTTGCTTTGACAAATGTGATATAATTCTTTGAATTTTCTGATGAATTAGCCGAAGGTGTCTGCCTCATGCACACGTACAAAGTCAACGGAAAGAAGGTTGAAGCGAAAACCAACAGAGCCTGTAGTCCCACCACACAGTTCAAAGGTATGCAGATTTTAAAATGATTTTTCATTATTTAAATAGCCAAAAAGAAGAAGGTCCGAACTATCTTCAGATAGTGGTAGTGACTGCCTAAGCAGTGGTGATGAGTGGGCACCTGAGTTACGAAGTGGATGTAGCGGGACAACTGGGGAAATCTCAGGTGAAACAGAAGCCCACTCCGGAACTCCTAAATTGATGGGGCTTACCGATTCTGAAGGTGATAAGTGAAAATAATAAAGGTAACCGATTTATAGGCAGTCGTTATCCGAAGAGAAACAAAGAACGGCCAAACTACGCTGCAGATATAAAAATCCCCGAAGATGATAGGTACCTGTGTAAGTTTCGTATAGTTTAAAGTAGGTTATTTTTTTTTGTGTTTGCACACTTAGGTGGTTAGCAGATGTTTAAACAACTCTTATTTTAATAAAAGACTGTTAGTTTTGAAGTACTTTGAGATTGTGATTATCACTGTTATCTTTTAAGTCTTTCAGTCAGATGTATCGAGCTGATGGCTCCATAGTGGACGTTTCAACTACATTTTATGGCATGTTTAATCAGTAGAAATTAAAAGTGAATGCGTAGTTTATCCTGCATCTGAGTAACTCGTAAATAAGTATGAACTAAATCCATGCTTGAGGTGTACCACAGTCCTCGAAACGTTTATGAGAAGGTAGAAATAAGGAAAAGATGGTATTTGATTAACTATGTTTCAGTCGACTAAAGTTAAATGTAAACAGAGAGCAGTTGTACTTGAAGCATTCCATTGGTGTGGAAACACTGAAATGCAGAATTTATTTCTCATAGAGGCCTGTATGAATTTATGTCGCGTAATAGACATAAGTGTTGTCTGTGGTGATTTCAAAAAGTGACTTAGTGTCATTGTTGTTTCTTCAAATAGTTATTAACACTAAGTCTTTACTCTTAAAAGTAGGTGTCATCATGAGAATACAATTTGTTGTAGAATTTAGTAACCAATTAAAAACCTTCTATAGGAATCGTTCTGATTTTTACTTCAACCCTTTGTATTATTCAGATTGCTACACATGCAAACGCTCAGTGATGGATGGTTGTTTTAAGCATCCTGTCCGATGGATTGAGAATTTACCTTGGTTGTTTGCAAACAAGCAGAGGATAAATTTGCTTTTCATCAGAAAACCAAATGTGTGTGTGGACAGTTATATTATGAGCACGCAGCGAAAACTGCGCCTGGAGAATTGATCAAAATCTTAAGATCCCGAATTCCTGGTGCAGGTCTTGGCGCTTACGCCAATGCAAAGATAGAGTGTGGTACGGTCTTCGGTCCATTTGGTGGACAAGTTGTTTACGTGGATGAAATGAGTAGCTCCGTGCAACTCAAAGTAAGTCTCTGAATTTTTACTACTCAAATCTCTGTGACATTTTCGCGTACACACAAAGTGATTTTATAACCTTACTTAACTATGAATGTTTCGTTTCAAGCACTGCATAAGAATCCAATTACTTCATCAATTTCAGAGATCACGAGGTGGGTATGCGTGGCTTGTAAGGGCGAATGTAGATGGTGTCAGGCAGCACTGGATTGATGCTCGAAATTGTTTGAATTCTAACTGGTTAAGAGTAAGTTTTTAAATTAGTTTTGGTTAGACTTTATATTCTTGTCACAGAACTAATTTAATGCTCGTATCTACTGTTGAATTATGTTGAGCTTTTCTTTAGACTAATCAGAGTATTTACATGCAGTTGATTTGGTTAGAGGTTGTGTCTGAAATTTTTGTCAGCTGTTTGTAAATCTTGTGTGTGATTTCATGTATTCCTTATTGGACAATGATTTGTTAGATTTTACCCCACAAGCCTTAATTATTCTTTTGATAGAATAGAAGGTATGACTTTTTAGTAGTCGTCGTCCCATTGTTCTCTACGATGATTCTGAAGCTTTTTGGTTGCCATGCTTAATGAAATACTGTGTTTTATAGCTGCACTGGACTGAATAAACCCGTCGCCAAATTGTTATATCTGCGCTTGTTAATATTTTTATAACGGTAATGAACTCGACTGGTACGCTAATACGCCTATTCGTCCGTTGTACCTTCCGATTCACTGAGTCATGCAAATATCAGAAGACAAAGGCTGACCTGTGACTCTAAGATATTGTATTCTACATTTATTAGGAAACAAAACATCATATGCTTTACATCGCCGCGAGAATGAATTATTCTTATTGGCTGGAAATGTCAATCCTGATCAGTTGACGGTCCGACAAAGCTTAAGGCGAGACAAAGGATGATGAATTGATCACACAGTAAATCACAATACTCGTGAGAAATGATAGATTAACATAGTAACTCCATCACAAGGTAAACCACTCGATTTGTGAGAAAGGACAATATTCTATTTTATGCTGGGTCCCATCACTGCGAGCATAGAGCTAAAAATGAAAAGGTATTTTCACTTTATTGTAGTCACTATGACACCATTGCCAATTACGTCAAACACCGTTAGCTATTCTGAGAGAGAAAGAGAGAGTTTGTATGTACGACTTGCCAGTTAGTTTTGTTTCGGTAACATGGTTCCTGGCTTAAATACGTATGTGTAATGACTGAGTAGGTCGATGGTTTTTCAGTGATAATTTAAGTACAAGTTGTACAAGTATTGGTTCCCTATGTGTTAATTAGATGACCAGCCCATCAAACTTCACCACGTTGAGGCACTCATACTGGGCGAAATGTTGCAGCATCATTAGTTCCGTGGTACCTTTTTGTATTAGTTGTTTATATATATTTATATATATAATTTTTACTTGCCGGTTTGGAAACACATGGTTCCAACAGTGATGTTAGTCTTCTTGAAATATAGGTTCGTGTTTCAGTGAAAATGTTACGAAATTGTCACCCTTGTCTTAACTCTTGACCTTATTCGTGTGAAGATGTAGCGACAGTGTTGTGAATGCTACATCACCACACTATTCTGTGCATATTTCCCAAACGTAGGATTTCTTTTGAACTGCTTGTTGTGATGAGTTGAATGTAGGTCAGGTGTAGATGCAGGTGTTAGTGTATCGGGAAAAGAACATTATCTCACACAGTATTCAATATGACATAGAATCTCCTTTTAAGTGTTTATCTGTGTTTCTGGGCAATAATATGTATTGATAAGAAAGTAATTTTACTTTACATACACACTTGATTTGTTTTTTCGTTTCATTCCTATTGGTACCTCATTGCTTCACAAATTGCAATTGTGCGTCGGTGGCACAGTGGTTAGGACTCTCGCCGACCATGCACATGGTCCGGGGTTCGATCCCCTGCCGACGCACACCCGATATCTATGGTCGGCCTGCAAAATTTGGGCTACCGATATCCATGCTGAAAATTCCATACTTGTACTGAAAATACGGTGTGGCATCAAGCTGTAACCAAAAATATTTTAAAAAAATTTAAAAAAGTCCAACTGCATGTGTAAATTTCATAGTAATAAATGTATGCATATAATCCATGGTGGTGTGGGGAGGTGGCAGTTAACTCTTTAATTGTTAATTCTCCTTTAACTAAGATTAAGGTGTCAGAATCCCTCCAGTGTTAGGGTTAATATATTCTGACTACAATGTATGCACTTTCTAATACTTGCTTATTTCATGATTCAATTTTAAGGTCTACACCATTATGTTATATGATGTTGAGTATTAAGCACAGATAAGTAAGTGGAATCTCCTGACAGGAATGCTAACTGAGTCTTTGTTGCGCAGGAGACTATAATATAGCACAACTTGCATTGATGACAGTTATAATAGTAGGGAAAAGTATACATAAACTACCTAAGCGTACTGTCAGAAACGCTGGCTTCTTAAACACATGAAGATAGTGTTGCATCGAGGCTAAAATAAGCAGAATGTGTTATTAAAAGTTAGTAATTATTTATGCTCTGCTGTGAGAAAACTTCAGCCCATTATACAAAATACAAGAAGCTTTTACTGCAACACTTTCTCCCGTTGTTTTTGTTTACTATAGTTTGTTAATTGCTCCAGATTCGATGAGGAGCAAAACCTCGTGACAGTTCAATATAGGGGGAAGATATACTACAGAGCATGCAAAGTAAGCAAATGTTCCGTTGAGTCAACTAACATTTAGGATATTCCGAAATTTCAGGAGCTTCTGACGTACTACGGAAAGGAGGTAAGCTTTCATTTCTCAATTTCTAAGCACCATTGGAATAAAATTTATTTTTAAAATAGAATATCCTGTTGCCATGTGACTTGAGATTTGTAGGTGGCTTCTTTTAAAAAGCCGCAGACGAGTGAGAAGTGTGTCTCAATAATGAGAGAAAGTGCGGATTTGCGGCTAAAAATGATATCATTCTATTTCATAGGTTCTCATCATCTGCAGACTACCTGAAATTAAAGTGCCTATTGATAATGACAATAACATATTTCAATGTTTGAATAGTGGTAAAGAAATCATCATAAAATCAACGCATCTGAAATTTAAGCACCGCAATTTTTCGTTTAAGTTACCGTCAGTTAATATGCTTTAAAAATAGAAAAGCAGGTGGGGTGGGGGTGGAGGAGAAGGTAGAAAACAGAAGAATCTAATAAACAGTTTTAGCATGTAGGTTTGCACAGCAACTCAAGAAGTTTATTGTTCATAAAATTGAAAACTTGCTCAGTGAGTTGAAATCACTAATATGGATGACTAATCAATGTAATCAAAATGCAGTTACGAAGGTAGTGAGAGATTGATCACACCCTCTTTCTGTATGTATAAGTTTGGTTTGAAACGCTTGATTGCAATTGTTTCATCGAATAGTATTGAATTTTCCGTCCTTTGTACGTTTAATATTTTGAAGGATTTAGAAATGTTGACGAAATGGCCCGTGTCCACAAGGTGTCTGTTAGTTGCACTTTGCGAATATCTGCGTCCTTTAATTCATAAGTTTCTTAAGTTATGCTCTGAAAGCCGGATGGAAGCCATTCTTTCGTCCTTGCAGTGTCCTTGGTCTCGCAAATGCACGTAAATTTATAGACGCAGTTGGAGGTGACATCAGTAGGGTTTTTATCCAGTCTAGACTTGCTTATGGAGCACGTGGTGCTGTACTGTGTGGCGTTACGAGCTTAGGCACAGGGAAGCATTTTTTATTGCTCCTTTCATTCTCTTGTCAATGTTTTGTGATACCGCTTTTCCTCTGAATGGGAGACAGATGATCACTTTCTTTCCAACAGTTGGATGCTTGGTTTTCTCGTCGTTTTCTTTGCTGTACTTTTGGATAAATCCTGTTTGTTACCCAATTCCACCTTGTTTGGCGAACATAACTTCCTGACTCTGTCGTACAGTGTCCCTACTAATCCAGCCTTATAGCTTTAGGACAGAAGTCGATATGTCGATGATACATTTGTTGTTTGTAACGAAATGAATGAGGCATCTGTATTATTTGACCGTCTTAGTATGATCCACCCAAACATTCAATTCAGTATGGGATATTAACACAACGACGAGCTGAATTTCCTGGACCTATTGCTGGAAGAAGAAATGATAGTACGGTCGAAAAATCCATCTACAGAAAAGGAACCTGGACCGGAGAATATCTTCACTACAACGGAAGAAAAGTAGAGTTTTATTGGACATGACAAATCATAAAGAGTGAGTGCATCTGCACCAGCGCCACAGAACGATTTTGAGCCATATCACCGATTGTCCCCAACCACTTGTTTTTACCATGAAGTTACCTACATCTCCCTACGTGGCTTAAACTAAATGTTGTGGATTTCGTTGACTTGTGAAGCCATATTTTGGCTTGACCACCACTAGCTCTTTCCAACTTGATCCATCCTGTGTCAGTCAGCTAACATTGCCCATTGTCGAGGCAGGCGATGGATGTCTAGGCAGTCATGCGTAACATAATTCCCAACAATTTCAGTCGATGTAACTTCACAACCTCATCGATTGATTTTCTCTCCTCACCTAGCACTCACTCGACCAATGCCTAACCTCAATATTATTCACCCTATTACACCTAACACGGGACATATGACGCAGATGTCTATGATGAAAGACAGCTAGCCGACCTTTTCATGTCTTCCACTTTCAGTGGCCATGTCTTGCTCACAGCCAGCCGTAAAGTAGGACGGAGCGAATTCATGAGCTGTATACACGCTCATCGGTTGACAGCCAGCTGGATATCACGTTTACTAAGTCAGAGATGGTGTAATTGGGTAGGCAAATACCACACGAGCCTTCTATATCCATGCAGAGATTTCGTCAGCTTTCAACTCGCTGGCGTTGGTTGATGCAACTCCCCAAACAAGTGAATTGGTCAACACGCTCTACCACCTCACTATCTATCTTTACACAAGGAGTCAATATAGCTCGGACACCCCACTCTTCGTTTATCACTCGAGTTTGACTGAAATGTGCGACGTCATTCGACGGTCGCCTCAACGTGTGTCCGATCCATCTCCACTTTCTTCGGGATATTTTGTTGAGCAGTATGTTCTTGGTTGGTGTGTTCCCAGAGTTTCTTGTTACGAATTCTTGCTGGTTATTTGATCCTCATTATGGTGTCATCAAAGTCAGCGGATGATAAAAGTCTGCAGTAGCTTGTTGGAAATGCTTTACGTGACGCACCAAGTTTCAGATGCATATAGAAGTTACTGACTCAACATTGGCGTTGGAAATCCAAATTTTATTGTTTATGCTGAATGTCAGAGATTTCCGAACTGATTTGAGAATGATGAATGTCTGCGTTTGCTTTCCGATTCTAATTTTGACGTCCCCATCGTTGCCGCCTGTAGTGAGAATGATGGTGCCTAGCAAGATGAGTGAAGGGAGTGACCTCCTTCTAATTTCTTCCGTTGATGTTGATTGGTGCTGGTTGTTGTTGCTGCTGTTGTTGGTAGGTTATCTTCGTTACCTCCATTTTTTCTGTGTTCACTTGAATTCTTGTCTTTGCTGCCTCTTCTACCAGTTCGTTAGTTTTCGCCTGCAAGTCTTCGAGTTTGTGTAACATTAAACATAAACCACCTGCGAAATTTAGATCTTCTAGAGTCTTCTTATCTGTGGTCCGGCGTATTCCTGTCTCCTCGCTACCCAAAGTCCGACGCATAACCCAGTCCACCACAATTTAGAATATCATTGGTGATAATAGACAGCCTCGTCCTATTCCTGTCCTGTATGCACTTCGAACGCCTCTCTGAGTTTTCCGTTGTGGATCACCTAACACGTGACATTGTCATCTAGCCAGCTGTTGAATGAGGTTGATAAATACTTGGGCACTGCACGCTATAGTGTTTAGGGAGTTTCCAAATTGCTTCGGGATCAACGCTGTCTGTCGAAGGCCTTTTGGAGTCGATGAAGTAGGTTGAGGTAGAGGTTTGACTGCCATTCTATACGCTGTCTGTTCGACGACGATGCGTAGAGTTGCGATTTGATCAGCACACGATTTGCCTTTCCTAAATCCAGCTTGTTCCTGGTTAGTAGAGTTCGATATCCAGTGAACCCTTTATTCTCTCCAGGATGATGCGACTTAGCATTTCCCTTGGCGTGGACAAGAGCATTATTCCACACTAGTTCTTGCAAAGACCTAAATCGCCCTTCTTTGACAGCTTGATGAGGTAGCCAACCTTTCTTCCAATCCATAGAAACCTTCGCATCTTTCCAAATCTTATGCAATAATGGGGTGAGGTCATCTGCTGCAGTCTCTGGATCCATTTTTATTGCTTCAGGATGGGGGAATTCCGTCTGGTGCTGCTGCCTTCCCAGCTAGACTTCAATAGCCTGGTCGCATTCAGGATTTCTGCTTTCATTGAAGGATTGGCATCCACTGGTAGGCAGTTCCGTGCGTGCTGTTGGCTTTGATGGTATTTCTGGGCGAATTGCAGGTGATGGTCGTTTCAAGAGTCCTTTAAAGTGATCAGCCCATTGTGTGTTTTGTTTCTCCCCCTTGGTAATCAGTTCCTCTTGAACATCTTTTATAGGCGTCATCATTTTGGTTGGTCTCTTCGTGGATAGCGATAGACTTGGTTATCTGATATAATGTCCTGAGGTGTCTTTTACCGGCAACCTGTCTGTTCTGCTTCCGTTGCCTTCCGGTGTGTCGTAGAATTGTCTTTTGTCTTTCCTAGCACTCTCCTTCACTTCTTCATTCAGTTTGATATCCATTGAGCTAGGCTGATCGTTTTGTTGTCCATTGGTTCATCTTGTGTTTCACCATCCTCCTCGCCTCTCCTCTGTTAGCTTGCAGGTGTCCGTTGAGAGTCATTCCTAGTCTATCTCTTTCCTCTTTTCTATTCCTAAAATGGATGTACACGTTTTCTTGAACATTACCTTCAAAGAGTTAGTTCCAATGTATCTTTCATGCAGGTTTCCTCAGTGGTGGCACGTAGTGTCTCTGACTTTGCTCTGATCTGATGGCTGTAGTGAACGTTTCCCTTGTAGTTTTGTCCTTAATGCCGAGAAAATACATTGCACTGATTAGGGCACTCTACTCGTACTCATGCAGCCAGGTGAGGGCCTATGGCGAGTTGTCATCTGAAGTGGTGACGACTAGTGGCGTCCGTCAAGGCTGCCCATTATCCCCATTCCTATTCAACTTCATCATAGACGTATTAATGGACTTAACTCTAACACACTTCAGCGACTCAGGAATTGACTTGCTACCAGGGAATAATCTCGTCGACTTAGAATATGCGGACAATATAGTCCTTCTAGGCGAGGACTCTGACAAAATGCAGAGTCTACTGAACACCTTGAGTAACAATCTTCGTATGTTTGGCATGCGATTCGCCCCCGTAAAATGTAAGATGATGCTGCAGGATTGGACTTCACCGACCCCTAGATTAGAAATAGGAAGTGAAGTGGTAGAGCACGTTGACCGCTTCAATTACTTGGGAAGTACCATCAGCCCCAACGGGTTGATCTCAGACGAAATCTCAACACGAATACAGAGAGCTAGGTTCGCATACGCCAGTTTACGCCGTCTCTGGCGTAGACGTGATATCCGACTATCGACCAAAGGGTGTGTGTACTGCTCAACAGTCCGCTCCGTCCTCCTTTATGGCTGTGAGACATGGCCATTGAGAGCAGAAGACATGAAAAGATTAGCTGTCTTCGATCATAGGTGTCTGCGTTCTATCTCCCTCGTGAAGTGGTATAATAAGGTGAGCAATATTGAGGTTAGGCGTCGAGTGCTAGGTAAGGAGGGGAAATCAATCGACGAAACTGTGAAATTACATCGACTGAGATGGTTAGGACATGTGCTACGTATGCCTAGTCATCGCCTTCCTCGACTAACGGGCAATGTTAGCTGATATAGGGCCAGGCTGGAAAAGAGCTAGCGGCGGTCAAATGAAAACATGGCACCAGTCAATGAAATCCACAACAGTCAGTCTAAGCCACGTAGGAAGGTGCAGACCTCCTGGTTGGGGTCCTCGGGACGGTAAAAACCAATGGTTGGAAACAATTGGTGACATGGCTCAAAATCGTTCTCAGTGGCGCAGATGCATCCACTCCTTGTGACTTATGATTTCCAATTAAACTGTTTTGTTCTCCGTTATTACTATTCCTTTGTCTCACACCTCTGTTTACTGTCTTTATTATGCATTTCTCCTAATTTCTTCTCTTGCTTTGTGTGCTACATAGAGTGTGGCGACTTGAACTGCGCACATATGTGCAAAAGTCTCTGTCGAAAACCGACCGACCGACCGAGTTTTGTCCTTCAGTGTCTGAATGTTGAACTTGAATTATAGTGGCCTGTCTCCAGCTGTTTTGAGGGATTTCAGCTTCACGCTGAAGGTTGCTTGCACTAAGATAATGATCTAAGCCCACATTTGTCTTCCCTTCCGACATTGTACTGATCAGACTGCGTGTCCACTGACTTGAGCAGCATTGAGCAGAGGTCTATCTGATTTTCGGTTTTTCCGTTGTGTGAAATCCATGTCGCCTTGTGTTTATCCTTGTGCTTGTAGACGCCACCTCCAACCACCAAATTATCGAATGAGTAGAAGTCTGAGAAGAGTTCTCCGTTCTCATTCGTCATTTGGCCGAGAGCTTTTCGGGCCCATGATGAGTCCTCTTCCTGCATTGTCTGCTCTCAGTTCAGCTGGCATTCATATCGCCCATGAGGACTTTGATATCACCATTTGGTGCACTTGTCTATAGAAATCTTCCTTCTTGTCTTATTCCGCGTTGTTTGTAGCACTGTGCGTATCTTCGGATAATTGTGATCTTCGTTCCTTGTGAGTTGGATCTTGCTATGATTATCCTGCTGGCGGAAACTGGCTGTCACTGCATAAGAGCTCTGGTTGTTGTTGGTGACATAATGATGGTCACTCACTGCCTCAATAGATTACTGACTCTCCGGGTGACAGTTTCGACAGTCCACATCCATTCCATCTGCTGTAGCAGATTCCTAGCACCTCTATACTGCATCTTCTCATTTCTTTGGCTATCTGGGTGGCCTTCCCAGCCGGCTTCGTACATTGTACGAACATTTCTTTGCTTTCATAGAGAGAAGACACATCGGCTGACTGGCTTCCCAAAGCCGGGGTTTCACCAGCCTGCTGTGTGATTTCGTCTCTCCGATCTCAATGACGAATGAGTTCGTTTTTTTGTATTTTTCTTGTGGTTTGTAGTTTCTGTAGAGATTAGATTGATTTTCTGGGGTGCAATCTGTACCCTGACACCAGACCCTTGCTGTTTCCCGGGGCCTTGGACTGGCTAGAAGACTAACGAGCTAGTAGTCCAGGCGATGTTATCGACCATAAATATTACCCTTGAATTCATTCGCTTTGGGTTGAAAATGCGAGAGGTTCAGGTATAATTTAGTGGTGTTTTTTTCGTTTTCACGGTTATTGAAAGAAGTATATACTGGATGACTTCATATTTTGTAGTAATCTGAGAGAGATGAGCCATTTGGAATTAAGGTAAGAGTGGACTTTGAAACGCCTTAGTCTCAGACAAATGTGAATTCCTTGATACTTAATTAATTCAAAAGTTGTTTAAAATATTTGGAATTATTTTCGTAGAAGTCTGAATATTTGTAACATGCGTTTCAAACTTGTTGACCTTAAGATAATGTTATGAGGCGAGTATGTACTGATCCCCTTGTTTAGAGTAAAAGGGTGAAGAGATGTTCAGGATGATAGACTGATGGATGACAAAATTTATTTCCTGATAAAGTATTTTGATACTCTGGTAAAACTTTAGAATCTTCTGTTCCACCGATAAATAGGTCAACTCTACATTACATTTTGTGGTTTTCACATAATGTTATCTACACCATTTTACTTCCCAACTGCATAATGTAATTTCTGTCCCACCATTAAAGCATGTGAATCGTTTTATCTCATACGTGTTTTGTATTCAGTTAATGTTGTTTGTTAGCTGATGAGAAGCTGTGAAATGAAGCGTCCTCACTGTGTTCTATGAATCTCGTTATCTTTACTCTTGTTTAAAATCTTTTGTTAGACATTCACTAGTTCAAGGTATGTTACCAGTTTCACATCTGACTGACTGTATGTCACTTTTATTCTACGATTATGAAATAACTGTTGGATTGGGGGAAATGAGCATCCAATCCAGGAAATAATACTGTTTAACTGTGTAGTGCAATCAGTAGTGACAAGACAGTTGTTATTTTACTCTTTCGCTTCAATTACTCACTCAAAAGTATTTAGATGTTTATTGTGAATAATCAAAATAGTAATTCAATCAAATTGATAATCCGCATAGAGAAATAATAACGCCAGAATTCAGCGAAGAAAATTCTCTTTACGACGATTTCATTTTCATATCTGTACATTTATTATTATTATTTCCTTTAATTTCTAGAGGAACATAGGGCTTCAGCCGCGCGTCTTTATTGCGTTCGGTTCTCTGCTAGAGTTTTCACCTGGCTCCAAGTCTGCCCACATGTCTTAATCTCCTCTTCACCACTGACCACCAACTCGCCGCTTCCCTTTCAGGTTCCACTTGAGCAATGGCTTGTCTAGTGATGTCACTTGATGGTTTCCTTAGAGTATGGCCAATCCATCTCCATTTCTTCCTGTCTATTTGTTGTTTGGTTCGCTCCCACAGATCCCTGTTGCTGATCTTTTCTGGCCATCTGATCTTGAGTACTGAACGAAGACAACTGTTGATGAAGGTCTGTAGTTTGTTTGAGATGCTCTTTATGACGCGCAGTGTAAGTTTCTGATCCGCATAGTAGCACTGACTTCACATTGGCGTTGAAAATCAGGATCTTATTTTTCATACTGAGTGCTGTTGACCTCCACACCGACTTGAGAGTAGTGAAAGCTTGTCTTGCTTTTCCGATTCTTGCATTGATATCCTCGTCAGTTCCGCGTGTAGTTGAAACGATGCTTCTTAGGTCTGTAGGTAAAGGAGGTTGATTCTTTCAGGTTCCTCCCATTTATGCTGATTGTTATCTGTTGTTGTTGTTGGTGTTGGTGGTGTTGCCCAGGAATCTTCATCACCTCTGTTTTCTCTACGTTCACCTGAACTAATTCCTGTCTTTGATGCTTCTTCTGCCAACTTGTTGCTTTTCACTTGCATATCTTCCAGTTTATGGGAAATCAGACATATATCATCGGCGAAGTCCAAATCCTCCAAGTTTTTTGTGTGAGTCCATTTTATTCCTGTTTCCTCATTGCCCACTGTATGTCGCATTGTCCAGTCTACTGCAATCAGGAAAATCATTGGCGATAGTAGGCAGCCAGCTTGTCTTACTCCTGTTCTCACTTCGAAGGATTCCGTAAGTTTCCCGTTTTGGATTACTTGGCATGCAGCATTGTCGTACAGCTGTTGTATTGAGTGGATAATTGTTGGTAGCACGCCATAGTAGCGAAGTAGTTACCAAATCACTTCTCGGTCGACGCTGTCGAAGGCCTTTCCAAAGTCGATGAAGTTGAGATAGAGAGGTGACTGCCATTCCAGGCTTTGTTCTATGATGATCCGTAGTGTGGCGATTTGATCAATACATGACTTGTTCCTCCTGAATCCAGCCTGTTTCGGTCGAAGTTTTCGTCCAGGTTGGCGTGTTTGATTCTCTCCAGGATGATGCGGCTTAGTATTTTGCTTGGGATGGACAGGAGCATAATTCCGCGCCAGTTCTTGCATTGACTTAAATCTCCTTTCTTTGGCAGTTTGAATAAGTATCCTTTCTTCCAATCCTCGGGTACCTTTCCCTCTTTCCACATCTTCTCCAGTAATGGCGTCATCAAGTCCGCTATTCTCTCTGGGTTCATTTTCAATGCTTCTGCTGGGATTCCATCTGGTCCTGCTGCTTTTTCAGCTTTTAGCATCATGGTTGCCTTCAGGACTTCTGATTTCGTCGGGGGATTGATGTTCACTGGTAGTTCAGCTTCCGTTGTTGGTATTGTTGGGTGCGTTGTAGATGGTGGTCGATTTAGAAGTCTTTTGAAGTGTTCAGCCCAGTGTTTTCTTTGCTCCACTTCTTCGGTGATTGACTTTCCATTGTCATCCTTCACTGGCTTAATTTGTGTCGAACTTTTGCCCGATAGGTATCTAGTTGTTTAGTAGAGTGTTGCGAGGTCTCCTTTGCCTGCAGCTTGTTCTGCTTCGCTTGCCATGGCTTCATAATATTTTCTTTTGTCTTCCCTGGCACTCTTCTTTACTCTTTTGTTCAGTGTCTTGTAGCTTGCATTCAACTCCTGTTTTTGTTGCTCGTCGGTGCACTGGAGAATCTTTTGTTTCACCATCTTTCTCTTTTCTCTTAGTCTCCAAGTGTCCGTAGTGAGCCACTGTTTGTCCTGTCTCTTCTTTCTGCCTAGAACTTCCATGCAGGTTTGACTCCACACCATTTTCAGGTTATCCCAGTGCTTTTCGACGCTAACCTCTTCGCTAGTGTTGATTTGTGTCTCGGCTTTTTCCCTTATGCTTTTAGTGAAGATATCCTTCGTATCCTGGTCCTTTAGTTTTGAGTGTTGAACTTGGCTTGTGGTCTATCTGCAGCTCCTGTTTCTCTGAAGGCTTTTAATTTGATTTGGATTGTCCCTTGTACGAGGTAGTGGTCTGAGCCAACGTCTGCTCCTCTTCTTACTTTTGTGTCCAGTAGGCTGCGCCTCCACTTCCTTGAGATTGAGATGAATTCAATTTGGCTTTTGGTTCACCCATCTGGTGACACCCATGTAGCCTTGTGGATATCCTTGTGTTTGTATACGTTGCCACCAATCACTAGTTCATTGAAGGCGCAGAAGTCGGCGAAGAGTTCTCCGTTTTCATTCACTTCTCCGAGAGCTTCTCTACCCATGATGAGTTCCCTTCCTGTGTTGTCTGGTCCCAGTTTGGCGTCCATGTCTCCCATTAGTATTTTAATGTCACCAGCTGGAGTATTGTCCGTAGTTGTCCGTAGAATTCTTCTTTTTCTTTTCGAGGTTTGCGCTGTTTGTGGGTGCATATGACTGAATAACTGACACTTTCCTTCCTTTGGAGTTGAATCTGGCGGTTATTATCTTGGGCGAGGTCGCCTCCCATTGCATCAGGGCCTTCGTTGCCGTTAGTGACACGCCCTCGGTGTGCGTGTGGTTGTCTTCTGGGTGATCGGAATAGATCACTGACTCTCCCATTGAAAATTTGGTGAGTTCATTCCCGTTCCATCTGCTTTCACATATCCCCAGTACTTGAATTCCGTATCTTTTCATTTCGTTAGCGATCTGGGCAGCTTTTCCAATCTCATACATGGTGCGGACTTTCCATGTCCCCACACAGACTTTTTCTTTTGGCGTAAGGAGACTCATCGTGCTGAAGTTTCTGTAGCAACTTTGTTTACAGGGTGGGGTTGCTAGCCTCACGCCTGAGAAGGGGGTTGTTACATTAAAATATAGTTTAGAGAGAAGCGACCTTGTGGGTTGCTCACCTTAAAGCCAAGAAAACAAGGAATAAAACAATGAGAACAACACCAGCACAGGAAAATAATTCACAACAAGAAGGGTAACAAGTGACAACAACAATAATAAAAAAACCTTAGTAGCAATATCACAGTCAGGTACAGTTGACCAAAATGATACCGAAACCATAGACTCAGTGACTTGAGCCAACTTGAACATGTAAATCCATCAATATATACAGTTATAGATATTAGTTAGTGTTAGACAAGCACAAAGTGGCAAACAGATAATTATAGGTATTATCGGTCAACAAGATTATATCCACAGGTTCAGTGTTTGAAAGGCAAATAATTACAATAAGTTTTGCAACTTTTTGGCAAGAAATTCCACAGAAACAAGAGTTTTATGTAACTACGTGAATGTAACGTAGTAATCGAAAAGCCCATATCTGTTCAATCGTATATTTATACAAATGAATTGCAATGGACAATAACAATCAGTTTCCTTCTCGGTGTGTGTGTGTGTGTGCGTTAAAGTTTGACAGTGAGTGGAAGTACTAAGGACGCGATAATATTGGTGTATAGGATTATGCGTCACAATGGTCTTGATTTTACTATGTAATTCATATAAAACCTGTGTTATCCTTCTTTATTCCATGTTCCATTTCTGTTTTATTTCACTTCATTTCAGTTTTTGTTATTATATTGTAACATTTGATCTAGTCTACTATTTTGACAACATTTCACTCATCCTATGTCTACCTCATGTTTTAGTATTCACACATTCACATTTCCGAATCTGCTTTATTGTCCTACCATCTATTTCGCACATGTCTATTGAAAATTAGGTTGACCTCTGTGTATTTATTCAGTTATTCATTCATATATCTAATCAATTGTGACTCACAGTCAAATACACCAATATTATCGCACTTTTCTTCGCTGAATAATTCAATCGATTAAACTGTTATCGTGCAACAAAAGATAATTATAATACTTGAGTGTATATTGCTCATGTCAAGCAAGCATACATCTTTTTTCCTTGTGGTACCTGAAGAAATAGATTGATATCAAAAGAAAAGTTAACAATAGTCAAGACGTTAGATGTTACTGACTGTTTCATGAACTTTTAAGGTTGATTCTGTGGATAATTTGTGCATCAATAGTAAATAGTTTTATGCTTGAAAACAATCTCAGAAGTTCGGATGTACTCAGACTTTGACATTAAATTGTCGAACAGTGAAACCTCATATATTTTCCTATCTGGTAATATTAATTATGCTTCTTGTCACGTTATGAACATTGTGATTATTTTTGCCTTCATTCTCTGAGAAGTGTTGTAAGGTGAACCGATATCCTTTTGTGCGAAGTTAGTGTTGAATATAGGTTGTTTCTTGCTTGTGCATTTTTATATGGAGAAGAAGGTCAGAGTTACTGGCTCATGAAAGCAATCCTGTATTTTATTTAGTTTGAGCAGGTAATGATTAGTTCCACAAAGCAATCGACTAGATTACTGAACATAGTAATTCCTGGAAACACTGACTAATATGTTTTATCTATCAGTCTAAATTGTATGTTGTACATGTGACTAATGAGCTCGCACTTAGTCAGTTGACGAGAATGTAACCTGTGTGTGTATTTTCTAAAATGAGATGTTTTGTTTACAGTGTTCTCGAACTGAGAGCGTGATTATTTCAGTTGATGATGAAATAATAGTTTTCAGATTTTCGTCAAATAATTTAAAGGAAGTCGTTTTGAAAAATTACTTTCCAGTTTGCGTCTAAACTAGAAAGAGAGAGTAATTGGAAAGCAGAGGTGAATTCCAATCGAGAAGGTAATGAAGAAATGTTGTTGTTTCACTTCGTTTAGTTTCAGTTAAAAGTTGAAAAGTTAACAGTTGGTTGTAAATTTTTTTTGGGTCTAGTTTAACGCATTGTCGATGTCTATATCTTGTCCACCTGCATTCTGTGACCTGTTACTTTCCATGTGTTCTGTATGCACTGAATGTTTTGTTTGTTTGTTCCTAAGGAAGCTCTGTCCAATGAAATGGTATTCTATGGTTTTATTGCCCGGATTCTACTCATTACTCTAACGAAGTGGTTTCAAGAAGGTTATAATTACGTTGATATGGTATTTAGTCATGTGTGGTACCGACTTTAGTGTTACTGTTAACACGTGCTGACAGTTTTTAAGAAATTTGCAGGTGTGTTTCCATAAAGCGGGCAATAAGCTGGCTAAACCATTACTCCAGCTTTCATTTCCTTCTCACACGATCTGCTCCATGTCACACTCACATATCCAACTCGTGGCTTGACATCCAGGCCTTCCTCGAGGGTCTGGTGTGTGATGTCACTGAAAAGTCTCCTCAGTGTATATCCAATCCATCTCTATCTCCTTCAGCATATATGTTGAGTAATAGGTTTCCAACTGGTTGACATGCAAAGTTCTTCGTAACTTATCCTCTCTGGCTGGCCATTTGGACTTCAGCATCGAGGAAAGGAGGCAGATGTTGGTGAGAGTCAAAGTCCTTAGTGGCCTGTTGGAAACGGTTTCCATGATTCTATGTAGAAGCACTAACGGACTCGAGACTAATTCTAAAAATTCGGTCGTTTGTACTTGTACGACGTGCTGTAGATCCGCATACTTATTTAAGAGTAATGTATGTCTGTTTCATTTTCCCATTGTGGTCTTGACTGGCTATGACATCCTCTTCCATGCACCTGTAGTTGAAACGATGCTACCTGTCCTTGTAAAAGTGTCCACTTGAACTCCTTCCGTCAGCTAGTAGATTTTAGAGTGTTTGTGAAACTAAACATAAATCGTCCACGAAGTCCACACCTGCTAAGCTTTTTGTTGGTTCCACCAATGCCTGTTTTCTTACACCCCACGGTGTGCCATTTGATCCACTTCACTACAGTCAGAAATATCATATATGATATAAGCAACTTTGTCTTCCTCCTTAGTTTGCAATTACTTTCAAGGGACAACTATCATCATCGAATGAGAAGTGTGTGGAGTGTAAATAACAGTTTACTCGTGTGTACTAAACAGTTATGTTGATACGTGTAAATAACTCACTATACACGACGAATAAAGTTACAGTAACAACTATGATAAACATGTAAATGGGGAGTGAATTACTCTCAGTGTCCTATTAGTCCAAGTGTTATATGTAACTAGATAGTAGACCATCAGTAGTCCGTGTGTCAGAATTTAGATGATGCAAATATTGATTTCGTATGCGCTAATCAGATAACTAACCAATAAAACTTCAGCCCGTTGATTGGCATTCACTAATCAGCTCTATGTTGAATTATACACCTAATCCATGATACCTTTTGTTGGAAAATTATAGTTGTATATTTGTATTCACAGAAACTCTCAGGTGCTAGTTTAGAAATACATGTTTCCAACAATAATGTTTGAGTCTACTTGAATCTAGCAGTTTGCGTGAGAGGAAATGCACCAGGATGTAATTGGTCGTGCATTGTTGTTAACCTCATTCGTGTGGAGATTCAGCGGACAAAGTGTAGTAACATACTTCCCTCTGCTGACAACGTTTTTGTCACCTGCACTAGTGTTCATTGAGGTGATTTTGAGTTACGCTATTGAAAGGCTTTTCCAATGATTATTAATTGTTTTGGAGTGACTTAATTCTAGAGATGAAAGAGCATACCGTAGTGTTAATTGATAATAGCACACATTTGATCGAATTTTGACAATTACAGAATCGTAATGAGAGGATTCACGAGTGCTACTGATAAGGTGTAATGACATGTACTTTGGCCTGCTTTCCAGTATTCTTCCCATAGAACATTTCGAGTGGTCTGCTTATTTTGCTGCTGTATGTATTGTCGTGTTTGCAGTAAACGTGGTTGATTCTATTCAGACCATTGAGATGCTTTTATTAACTGAGTTGATGAATTCATTCATCCCTTAATAGAATATTAAATCCATCTAGAAATGCATTTTTTTTCATTGAACTTACCTTTTGTAAAATTTTATATGATCTGATCAGAAACATTGGTTTAATGCAACGTTCACTGAGTGCTGCATACACACAATATAACTGAGATGGTTTTTGAAAATGTCATTATTCTCTAAACAGCTGATTAGTAGTAGTATAAGTGAAGTGTGGAATCCCCTTTTCTGTTAGGAGACTCCACAGGTTTGCAAATTGAGTGTGTTTGTATCACTCTCATATGTGCAGATTTGTGAAATTATTCCATTGTATTAGTGTAGCGTTAGTCAAGATTTAGTCTAGCAGTAGGATATAAACTAAGATTTTATGCCATTCACTCGACAGAGGTCATGTATTGCTATCTTCGAATGCATTTGACATTGTTTCTGCTGTCCTCTTCAGCTGGGTACACGGTTGCCCATAATCTCTCATCTCCTCCTTACGCTATCTCCTCCATGTCACCCTAGGACGACCACTCGTTGTTTCCCATCCGGTGTCCACCAGAGTGATGGTCTGGCGTGCGATGTCAGCCAACAGTCTGCTCAGCGTATTCCCAGTCCATCTCCATTTTCTCCTACATATTTGTTGAGCTATCGGCTCTTGGTTGGTTTGTTGCCAGAGTTTCTTGTTGCCGATTCTTTATGACCGGCCATATGAGCGAAGGTGGCAGCTGTTGATAAAAGTC